GTACATTGAGTGTACTAAGCATTTAAAAAAAATATAATATACTTTTTTTTTTTTTTTAATGTAAACGATTACGTCTAAACCATAAAATCGATAATCGTGTTGCAACAAAGTTCAATAGACAAGACATAAATTGTTGAAGTAAAACTCGTGTAGGGGGTTGGAAAAGTCTTTTGGGTCAACTCGATTTTTTTTTTAAACATAATTCTCGGGTATTATTCACGTGTATATTGAGTGTTCTAAGTATTTAAGAAAATATAATATACTTTTTTTTAATATAAATGATTGCGTCTAAACCATAAAATGGATAATCGTCCATGGACGACATACATTTTTGAACTAAAAAATATGTTTTTAGAAGAATCTTTTGGGCGACCGAGTGACCTGATCAAACGAATAGAGTTCACAGCTCAATCCAGCCGAATTCATCTGGTTGTTGGGTTACTTTTTTTTTAATTATTTTAAAAAAATTATATTTATGTATAATACATATTATATTAATAACTAAAATCTTATTAAATTTAAATATCAAATATTTATAAGGCACAACGCATCACCAACATCGATTATAAACGTTGATATTTTTAATTTTTTTTTTAAATAGGATAGGTTGGGTGGATTGTAACTTTATTTTCAAGTTGATCCGGTTGATCTGACCAAAAAAATGTTAACCCACGAAGCGAGAAAAGAAATCTAACCTAATTATACTCTTTTTAGTTTGGGTTAAGTATTATGATCTCGACAATGAGACAAAGCCAAGAGGGGAGAGCACTTATTGAGTATAGGGAAGTCTCCTGGTAGGAATTTCTTAGGGCGTATTACGGTTTTTCATCAAGGGGGTGGATCGAAGCGATTGCAGTGAAGAATTGATCTCAAACGAACCACTTCATCTATGGGTATTGTAGAAAGAATAGAATATGACCCTAATCGTTCTTCTCGGATTGTTCCAGTACAATGAATCGAGGGAGTCCACCAGTCCAAGTTGATCATGTTATTGGGTCATATGAACCATGATTTTATGTAGCTCGAATACTTAAAAGCCTCTTCATGGGTAGAAATGAAACATTCAAAACTCTACCAACTACGTCACATTTCCTTGAACCATGATTTTACGTAGCTCGAATACTTTAAAAAAAAAAAAAAAAAAAAAACATCGTAGTTTGACTTGTAATTTGACTCGTGAACACATATATGTTTTATTAACTAAGAGATCAAACGTTCGAATCTTTTCAACTCATGAAAACATATGTTTTTTTATTGACTAAGAGATCAGATGTTCGAATCTTGTTTTTTTATTGACTAAGAGATCAGATGTTCGAATCTTATCCACCATCAAATATTGCATATATGATCAGGTACCCTTTTTATTTGTACCAGCCAAATTGAAACATTCTTCGGCTCTCATTTCATCAAATTCAAACTCGTTCTAATCATTTTTAGCTAATCCGAGCTGGTTGTAACATGAATCTTCGACCAAAATCAAGATTCGAAGTTCAGATTTTGATACTTACGTGTTGTTGAACTAAAGATACTCTATCATTAATAAGATAAGAATAAGATTGATATCGAAATTTTTGTTCATTTTCGTTAATTACATTGAAAAAAAAAAAAACCCACATCATCCCATTTGTTTGTTAAACATAAAGATATATATTGAACATGTAATTATTGAAATTTGTTTTTGAGTTCATCTAATTATTTGAGTTTGTTTGTCAATTCTAGCTGCAACAATTTCTCTTTAGCTGTTTAAACTTGGTCACTTTCAACTTCAACCACACGACATTAGCAAAGGAATTTGACAAGTTTAAGAATGTTTGATGACGTGGGATATATTAACAGTTACATCGGTTAGAAGTTGAATTCTCGTCTATTTATGTCGGTGAACTTAAAAAAACAAAATTTGATAATCGGTAGATTTTTTTTTTATTTCTTTTATCTCAACTCTTATAGATCACAACTCGTGTATGCACTCGTTTCTGTCGAACAACTCATGTTCCAAAAAGAACAGTAGCCTAAATGAGTATAGAAATACTCGGTAAGTAGTTTGCTTATATGCTCTTAAATTATTTGAAGTCCTAGTGTCAGATATTCATTCATGTTCTGTATTTTTATGTCTTATACTCTATCAAGTATTGTGTCTAAGTCATAGGTTTTTAAGAAATTAGGAACTAGGTTTTATTAGTTCATTCGAGCTCGTCATACTAATTTTTGTTACTTAAAGTTTATCGTCATTGAAAATCTAGTTCCTCGAAACTCATCAATTCTCGTAATCTAGCTCATTTGAGCTTATTATTTCTCATAGTCTATCTCCTCTCAAAGCTCATTTCTTTCTCGTAATCAATCTCAACCTCAGCTCAAACCGCTCATATGAGCTCGATTATCTCTTTAGGGTCTTCTTAAAGATGATTTAGTTAGCTTTCTACTAACTTTTCTTCAAATCATGCACATAAATAATAAGTGAGGGATTAGTTGGCGATTCTCTAATAATACTCATAATCATAATCTATCATCATAATGTTGAGGGAGCAACTCACGTGCCGGCTAACTAAACTATACTTGTGTGAACTCTTGCGCGTATTTGAGCAAGTTCATGACTAAGAGATAGCCGAAGATCGCTTAATCATCTACACACAGACTATTCTTATGGCTATATATCATAAATTATCTAGCGCACAACCCTCTCATACATCACCTCAGCATTAGATACCAATATAGGTAATAGCCAATCGAGGTAGATTCACTATTAAGCGTTAACCGAGCGGCCCTTTAATAGTTTTCACATTTTATTTGCGAGACAACTTATTATCAGATACATATGTAGAATTCTAGTCAATCGAGTCAATTCTGCTATTAAAGGTTAATTGACAACCCTTTAACAATCTCCACATTGTATAATCATAAGGGGAGTGACCCTACGTCTCTCCGAGTTAATAAAATACTATGTGAACCCTTGTCAATCGAGACAAGTTCACAATTAGGAGTTAGTTCGCAAATCCCAAACCGTCCCCCTCATAGTAGCATAATCACATCATCTTATGCAATGTCATAGAGTATACAACATAGGTAGAGGACTAAACCATCTAACATGTTCGTAAATTCAAGGGTCCATAAGAAGATCAGTTATCGTGCCATAAAAAAGGAGTCAGACTTCAATTTCCAAGGGCTCGTTTGAAATGATTCGACAAGAACTCGAGAAGCAAAATTTGATAGGGTTTAGTACTGAATTCACCAAAGTCGAAGAGGACACGAGGGTGTGAGGAAGTTGACGGGGTTACAGAATGGTGCCGACACCCAATACATAAAGGGAAGATTTAGAGGTTAAGATTTAGGAGAACGTACACGATTTATAGGTAAAATATAACTTTCTAATTAACTCTATGGTAAAATGAAGAGCAAAAAAGGGTCCAAATATTGAAGTTTGGTGAAGATTAGGTTATAAATAAACAAAAAGATACAAACTTTGGAGCCTATGGTTTTGATGTGAAAGTCCCCAAATAATTTGCCTCAATAATCTCTCTCCATTTGTGGGCCTCCTTTGGGTTGGCGGCGGACTCAATATACCTTAATCAATTCCATTTTTTTTACAATTTTAATTTAATCCCTTATATATATATTAAAATTTTCTAATAAAAAATATATTCTTGCTCTATTTTATTTCAAAAATATTTTTGAACTTTAAAGGAGTGTTTCAAAAATACCTTTAAACTTTTAAAAATTTCATTGTAGGCTCGAACTTTTAAAAGAAATTAAAAATACGTTTAAACTTTCACAAATTTTTAATCCTTATTTTGTGTGATGTCCCACATTGGCTAATAAGGACGCTAACCCCAAAGGGGGTGGATTTGGGAGCGGTCCCACATCGATGGGAGGAAGGAAAGAGTGCTAGCGAGGACGCTTGGCCCCAAAGGGGGGTGAATTGTGATGTCCCACGTTGGTTGGAGAGGAGAACAAACCACCGGGGGTGGATTTGGGGGTGGTCCCACATCGATTGGAGGAAGGAAAGAGTGCCAGCGAGGACGCTGGGCCACGAAGGGGGTGGATTGTGATGTCCCACATTGGTTGGGGAGGAGAACAAACCACTATTTATAAGTGGGTGAAAACCTTCCCCTAGCAGACGACTTTTAAAGCCTTGAGGGGAAGCCCGAAAGGGAAAGCCCAAAGAGGACAATATTTGCTAGCGGTAGATCTCTTAACGAGGGCATTCAAGAAGAGCGGAGAAAAAAAAATGAATAATTGTGAGAAATAAAAGCTCGAACATGACTACATATCTTCAATCATTTGTTCATAATCCCACACTTTGATCCATCTTATTCATATATTGACAACGGTTAATGCCATGTTCTCCCGACATAACCCTTCACAATTCATATGATTTCTCTCCAAGACTCGATACCGTATTAATTCATCATTAAATCTAAAAATTTCGATCACGGATGACTCCATATATTTGATTGTTTCACGATATCTTTTAAAATATAAGAAGTACATGTCAATTACGACTGAATTATACTCAATTACGCTTTTTATTCATAACTTTTCAATGAATCTAACAAAGATAATCCCATGGTAGACCATGATGCAACTTATTCGTACTTTGAGAACATGTTCATGCCACGTTCTCTAGACAGATCTTGGGAGGGCCATGTTTTATTTGTGTCGTGTCTCATAGATTTCCTCGAGGTTTCTTGGTGGCCAAACAAGAGGGATTGAGAAGAAGCTGTAAAATTAAACCCTAGCTAGGTGGCGAAGAGAGCTAAGGAAGAAAAAGAAACTGATTAATATTCATATTTTGTGATAGACTTTACTTGTACAAAACAATTTCCCATGTTTGCAAGCTATCCACCGAATCTTTTCAAATAATAATTTAAGTTTGAAAGTGACACATAAATGATTTATGTGAAAACGAGGGGCGAAAAGAAATTCCAAATTGGTTTCGATTTGAAATATAATAGTCCAAACCCACCGCAACTCGATATTGTCTACAGATAAAAAGAGGTTTCCACACTCTTATAATAATCAACCCCTCTTGGGAACCGAGCATTTTCGCTGGCACACCGCCCGGTGTCTAGTTCTGATATCATTTGTAATAGCCCAAGCTCACTGCTAGAAGATATTGTCCGCTTTGGCTCGTTACGTATCATTATCAGCCTTATGGTTTTAAAACGTGTTTGCTAGGGAGAGGTTTTCACACCCTTATAAGAGATGTTTCGTTTCCCTCTCCAACCGATGTGGAACCTCACAATCCATCCTCTTTGGTGCCCAGCGTCCTCGCTGGCACACTGTAGGGTGTCTGGCTCTGATACCATTTGTAACAACAAAAACTCACCTCTAACAGATATTGTCCGTTTTAGCTTCTTACGTATCACTATCAACCTCACGGTTTTAAAACGTATCTGGTAGGGAGGGGTTTCCACACCCTTATAAGAATGCTTGGTTCCCCTCTCCAACCAATGTGGAATCTCACAATCCACCTCCCTTGAGGTCCAGCGTTCTCACTGATACAATGTCGGGTGTCTCACTCTGATACCATTTATAACAGCTCAAACCCACCTCTAGCAGATATTGTCCGTTTTAGCTCGTTACATATCGTCGTCAGTCTCACAGTTCTAAAACGTGTCTGCTAGTGAGAGGTTTCTACACCCTTATAAGAAATGCTTCGTTTTTCTCTCCACCCGACGTAGAATCTCACGTCAAACTACTCTTAAAAAATAAGGAAAAAAAATCACTTTTGAGAAGGTGAACTTTTGGGATTCACTTCCTTCTATAGTTGAATGGTATACGTTAGCTTTTGTTTGAAAACAATGTTATTCTAATATGATAAAATCTTGTCGTGGAAGCCAAATCTTAAAAAGGTGATATTGTTGAGATAAAAAACGACATTAATTCTCATTTTTAACGGTTATGTTACTTTTTGTGAAAAGGGTTTGAATCTTAAGAAATTTAGAGAGAAAAAACGTGAAGGAATGGCATGAAATGAGAGGTCGAGTTCCAATTTTTGAGCTCGGGGAAATCAAGCTAGGGTTTTTCTTATAGGAAGAATGTGAGATTATTATGTAGGGGTGCTCAAAAAATCCAATGACCTAAAAACCCGATCAACCCAACTCGACCAGTACGATTTGAATAAGTTATCCTAAAACTAGAGTAGGTTGAATCGAACTAACTCGAGGAAGAACATGTGAATATTATGAAGGATTATTACATAGGGGGTGTTAAAAAAATATCTAATGACCCAAAAACTTGATCAACCCAACTCAACTGTACGATTTGAGTAGATTTACTTAAAACTAGATTGAGTTGAATCGAACTATCTTGAATTTATTGTTAATTTTAATTAGTACATTTTTGCTTAGGATACCATTTATATACCTACATTTATTTAACTTCATAATTTTTTTTATTGTTTATTCTCTAACAACGTTTAAAATAAATTTTTAATTATTTGAAATGTAAGTTTTCAAAAATAAATATCTTGTTTGAGTGATAAATTTTAATTAAATATTTAAAAATAAATAAATAGATGTTCCCGAACTAACATTTAAAGAACAACCGTTTGACTTTGGCACATGAGCTGGGGGGTTTGGCTAGGTAACATAATGGAAATGTACCGGACTGTAAATCCTGGAATGACGGTTCGACCCCGTCCCTGGCCTTGGGGAGTAGCGAGCTGCACAAAACGATCATTAATCAAAGGGGGCTTCCCAACAAAGAAAATCAAAAGACAACATTTTACTTTTATTAAAATAAAAAATTTGAATAAATGACCCGAACAACACGAACCAATCTAATTCAAAAATTTTATTTGTTTAATAAGAGTTGTTTGAGATGAAAAAATTTACGACCAAACAATTGAGTTGGGTCTAAAAGCATATCTCAACCCGACCAACCTAACCCACGAACACCTGCAATTAGGGCTCGGAAATAAGTAGAGTTATGTAAAAGGCTATCCAAGGTTTTTCCCCAAAAGTGAAGTAACTTAGCTTTTGGATAAAGCGTTGTTATAAAATACACAAAAAGTTGCTCATTTCATGGCAAAGTTGTTGAAAATTCATGATTTTTTAATATTTAATCTTTTTTATTTTTTACTTTTGTGCACATGAATGCCCTAACCCTAGCAATCAATGGGCTTGTCACTATCACTTTCTAATCCTAACCCTAACCCTAACCCTAAATGATTCATATCTGTTCCGTTTGGTAACGATTTTGTTTATGAAAACGTGTTTGTTTTTCTCACGATTTCTTTACTGAAATCAATTCGTAGCCATTGGGAGTAGATAACATCCATGCCCAGAATTTAAATTAGAATTTGGGATCAGGATTTGATAACTGATGACTCCGACATTTTCCTGCATCGCTTACGACATAAACCATGTATGTTACCTGTTTGTCTTGAATTGCTCGTAAAAATGAAAACTATCCCCACAAACTAACACAAGCCCTTTTAGCATGCTTTTTTATCGTTCACCCGTCATAAAAATTGCTCAAACTAAACTTTCGAGTTCCTATGATTGAGTTACTGAAAAGAAATGTGCACGTTATTGATATAAGTAGTAATAACTTCATATCTTCAAAATCGCTCTTATTCGAATATAGTCTCGGTTCATTCATGTTACATCCTAAGTTTAAAAAGCACGATAATACATTGAACTATAATTATATTCCATTATATTATAAAGTTAATTTTGGCTTTTCTTGGATAATTGAAGCTAATTTCTTTCTAATTTAAGCAAGTAATTAAGCCATGTAGCTAATTTCATCAATATCTTTTATTATGGATTTTTTTATTAGCTAGATTGAAATATGAAATACATTAATGAGAAAATAATAAGAAGAAGAAAAATTTCAATTAATTAAATGTATAAACTTCCTTCTACCATATAGTATACGTTTCTGACCCAAAGAAGTGATACATTTGGCATTTAGTGAACTATATATTTAATAAATATACACTAAAAATACTTGTAAAATTAATTTAAATTTGAAAATAATCTTCGAAAAATTGCCACGTGGAAATTTTATTTATTTCGTAATAAAATTAGTTTCTAAAAAGAGATTATGAGCCATCAAATATTATTGAATAAAATGTGTTTTTAAAGGGAAAAAAAAAGATAGAAAAGAAAATAAAAATGAATGAGTCGATTATGATTAACACTAATTAATTAGGGATTAGTGTGTTTGATTAACCAAATCTTTGTTCTATTTCAAGATCCAAATACAAGAATTGGGCTTGGTTACATGAATCTAAATGATTAATTGTATGGGGACGAGATTAATAATGTAGGGGTGTACACGAGTCGGGTTGAAAAATTCTTTTGGACTAATCTGAATTAGGTTGGTGACCCGAGTAACCCGAATAGAGTTCAGAACCCGATACTCTACTCTTGAAATGAATTGGGTTGTCAAGTTATTTTTTTAATTATTTAAAATGGGTCGGTGATCTGAGCAACTATAATAGAGTTCACAATCAAACCTTCTATTTTTGAGTTGGGTTGAGTTGTCTAGTTATTTTTTTAATTATTTAAAATGAGTTGGTGACTCAAGAAACCTAAATAGAGCTCACAACCTTGGGTTGTCGGGTTATTTTTTTGAATTATTTAAAAAAGTCCTACTTATTCACCATGCATGTTACATTAATAACTAAAATGTGAAATCTCATATTGGTTGAAGAGAAAAATTAAACATTTCTTATAAGAGTGTAGAAATTTCTCCTTGGTAGATGAGTTTTAAAACCGTGAGACTGACGACGATACGTAACAGGCTAAAGCAGACAATATTTGCTAACGGTGGGCTTGCACGGTTACAAATGGTAACAGAGCCAGTCAACTAGTGGTGTGCCAACAAGGATGATGGCTCCCAAGGGGGTGGATTGTGAAATTCCACATCGGTTGGAGAGGGAAACGAAACATTCCTTATAAGAGTGTGAAAACCTCTCCCTAATAGACGCGTTTTAAAACTGTGAGGTTGACGCCAATACGTAACAGGTCAAAACATTACATAAAATCTCGTAAAACTCAAATATCAAATATTCATAAGTCACAACATATAACTAACATAAGTTACAAACATAAATATTCTTAATTCTTCAAATATCAAATATTTATAAGTCACCGTTACAGACATAAATATTCTTAATTCTTCAAAATAATATTTAAAGCAGGGCTGAGTTATAACTCAATTTTTCGATTAGTCGGGTTGATCTTACCAAAAAAACGTCTAACCGTACGTGATCCAACCCAAATTTTTAATTTTCAAAAAATTCAACCCAAGGAATATGAAAAAGGATCTAATCCAACCCAAAAGTTCGGTTGGGTCGGGTAGACCAAGTTGGTCGAGTTCTCCCGTCATATAAACACCTTTAATCAACACATCAAACCGAGAAAATCCAAGAATTAATTAAATTAATTAACTTAACTTATGCAATGATTAAAAATTAATTAAAAAGGATAGTAATTTTAGGAGTAAATTATTGAAAAGAAGGAAGGGAGAATATGAAGCCGTTACTCATTCTCCAACATATAATATAAATCTGTCATCATCTTTGATATACATTACCTAACAAAATTCCCTCTTTAGAAAAGAACCCTAACAATACAATTCATTAAATAATTTGTATTTTATATAGTTTCAATTATTATTTTTTGGTTTATAATATGCTTTTCATACGTCATATTTTCATTTACTTGTTCCTTAGTATACATTTTCCCATCACATGTATACATAAATTCCACTTCTAGTGCTTACGTGGCTTTTTCTCCTCAAATTAGGGTTTTTTTTTGTACCTTCAATTATTAATTACATCATTTTCATAACTAATCCTCTCCTTGAAATCATATCCCTAATTAATTATGTTACCATCTCTTTTCCCTTTTTATCTAATTTAATCTTTTAATCCATCTTTCCCTACCTACTAAATTCATTGTTTTTTTAGTATAACTCTAGAAATTTTAACTACACGTTAACATTATTTAAAAAAAAAATGACGGTGACGATACAGAAGAAGAACGAAATTAAATGAGAGATTGGGTGTAACAACCCGATCCCACTGGATATTATCTACTTTGACTCGTTATGTATCACTGTCAGCCTCATGGTTTTAAAACGCGTTTCCACACCTTTATAAGGAATGTTTCGTTCCCCTATTCAACTGATGTTGGATCTCACAATCCACCCCCTTAGAGGCCCAACTTCCTCGTTGACACACCGCCCGGTGTCTAGCTCTAATACCATTTGTAACCGCCTAAGCCCACTGCTAGCAAATATTGTCCGTTTTGGCCCATTACGTATCACTGTCAACCTCATGGTTTCAAAACGTGTCTCCTAGGGCTTCGTTTCCACACTCTTATAAGGAATGCTTCATTTTTCTCTCCATGACCCACAAACATTTCAAAAAAGTATAATTACGAAGGGGACAAAGATACATCAAATTGCATAATTGACTGCTTTTTCAGATAAGGTTTTAAGCCAAGTGTCTAAGCTTTCGATTATAGATTATAAGTTCATAACTCCGAGACCATTCTCATTTCTGTCCCACAAACATTTTTAAAAAATATATATTTTTTATTTAACTTAACTGAATAAGACATATATAATGAAATCGAGACTATTTCACTAATTTTTCTCTCGACCCGGTCCTCAAATAATATGAATTTTCGTGAGGGTATGATTAAAAAAAAAAAAAACATGATTTTATTTGACACTTGTCCAATGATTCTTGACATATACAATTATTTTAAAATTTTTGTACACTTCGTGATGTGCATACTTTTGTCCATATATTAAAAAATTATTGCCATTCTCTTATTCATGTGTTACATTCTTGAACTATGGATTTATCATATAATATAATCTTTTTATATGATCATTAGCATAGGTCCCATTTGTATAATTAAATGTATCTCAACCTTGATTAATAGAATTTAATAAATGTAGCCATGATTTAATTGATTCAAATACTTTCCCATCTTATAAAATAGTCTTTTCTTATCATTATTGAATATATATATATATATGTCTTTGTAGTTAAAGATAAAAATGGTTAATATGCTTATCAAGAGAATGAACTTTGTTTGTTTGATTTGGCCAAAGTACCTATCCAATGCTCTAATTATTGAGTATCAATCATATTAGAATTCTATTTGGGAAACATACATTTTTAGTCTTCTACTTTATATATTTTTTTCGGGTTTAGTATTTAAATCAAATACTGCCTTGAAATTTTTTTCCCGAGTGACTTTGATACCAGACAAATGAAAGAGACAAAATTATAGCACTGAAATAGCTTACAGGGTTGAGCAAACGTGCATTACGTAATTCATACACGAGCTAATTTTATTGACATGTGTGTATATGCTTAACTCTATAATTATACTACCTCAAAATTTCCTTCCCGAGTGGCTTTGATACTAGATAGATGAAGAGACAAAATAATAACATTGAAATAGCTTACAGGGCTGAGCAAACGTGCATTGCGCAATTCATACACGAGGTAATTTTACTGACATGTATGTATATGCTTAACTCTATAATCAATATACTGCATTAGAATTTCCTTCCCGAGTGGCTTTCAAACAATACAAATGAAAGAGACAAAATAATAACACTGAAATAGCTTACACGGCTGAACAAACATACATTACGTAATTCATACATGAGCTAATTTCATAAACATGTATGTATATGCTTAACTCTATAATCAATATACTGCATCAGAATTTCCTTCCCGAGTGGTTTTGATACCAGATAGATGAAAGAGACAAAATAATACCACTGAAATAGCTTATTGGGTTGCAAATGTGCGTTACGTAATTCATACACGAGCTAATTTTGTTGACATGTATGTATATGCTTAACTCTTTAATCAAGACACTGCCTCAGAATTTCCTTCTCGAGTGACTTTGATACCGAACAGATGAAAGAGACAAAATAATAACACTGAAGTAGCTTACAGCACTGAGCAAACATGTGTTACGTAATTCTTACACGCGCTAATTTTATTGACATGTATGGTATGTATGTGCTAACCTCTCGAGCCTTGCAACATTCTTATATACTGATTTGTTTACTACGAGTATAAATTAAGACAAACGTTATGTTTATTAAACCATCACATCATCTCCTAACTATGTTGAGGTATTTGTTTTTAGAGTGTAATATCAAAGTTTCTATTAAGTATCATATTAGTACATTGGTTCAAGAGAATCATCTGCCTAACTAGAACTAAAATTTAAAAATATTGTTAATTTAATTTTTATTTAGAAACCTAAAATACTTATTAAAATATAGGACTTTTTTTTATTCTTTTATTTCTATTTTGAATATGAGAGAGAAAGGAGAGAGGACTCTTTTGAAGGGGATTAATAATGGTTTAAAATATTCTTAATTAATTAATGTAACTATCAATTTTTTAAAAACATTTTTTTTTTAATTTTCATTCGGATATGGTCTCGTTTCATTCGTATAAACTTTATTAGCAACTCTCAATTCCGTAACTTTTGAGTTCTGATGATTGAGCGACGAAGAATAAAGGTGCACGTTGTTGGTATAGGTAGTAACTATCAAACAATTTTTAATTATTATGCCATATTCTCGGGACCACTCTTATTTATATGTGGTCTTGATTAATTAAATGTACTCTTTTTGTGAGATTTCACATCGGTTGGAGAGGAGAACGAAACATTTCTCATAAGGGTGTGAATACCTCTCCCTATTAGACACGTTTTAAAAATCGTGAGGCTGACAACGATACGTAACAGGTCAAAACGGACAATATTCACTAGCGATGGGCTTGAGCTATTACAAAATTGTGAGATCCCACCTCGATTGGAGAGAAGAACGAAGCATTCCTTATAAGGGTGTGGAAACATCTTCCTATTAGACGCGTTTTAAAAATTGTGAGGCTAATAGCGATGCGTAACGGGCGAAAACAGACAATATTTGCTAATGGTGGGTTTAGGCTGTTACACTTTTTTACTCAGGCGTCACAATATGCCTCAATTTGTTAACGTAAGCTTCAATGGACGACATTCTTATGAAAAATTATTCAACAAGTCACGACGTACGACAATTTAGATGTAAATTTGAAATACTTCTCTCCCGTACATCAACAACGAAAAATTACCAGCCACATTAGAGCGGTGGGATCGAGTTTACTTAATGCAATTAACCCTAAGTAAAACTCAAAACCCAATAAATTATTACATTACGTGCAACTCAAGAAAAACCAATTTCAAATTAGGGGTTTCAATACAAAAATTTAACTCCAAACCCCATTTTTAATAATTGTAATTGGAAAAAGGGTTGTTTTGGATTGTTTCTTTATCAAACTTTTTTGACCTTTTGCACAATTTCTTTTCAAAATTAAAAAAATAAAAAATAAAAAATAAAATTTATAGTCATCATCCCTTTGTTCAAGATTTCTTGCAACTTGGGATTTTGCTTGAAAACTTTACCATTATAACTAACTCCCTATGCATATAAGCATGGCCTGCCAAAAGCTTATATCAACTTATAGGAAATAAACCCCTTTTTCATTCATACCCCCAACTATATATATCAATACAACCAAATCTTCATTCCTTATTAGATACCCATTTCCTTCCCCAAATTGCTCTCTTCTTCTTCATTTCTCTTGAGTTTAATACCCATAATTTTGTTCTTAAGTTTTTAGTTGTTCATAGCAATGGGGCTTAAAGATATTGGAGCCTCCCTTCCTCCTGGGTTTAGATTCTACCCAAGTGATGAAGAATTGGTTTGTCATTATCTTTACAAAAAGATTATGAATGAACAAGTTCTTAAGGGCACTCTTGTGGAGATTGATTTGCATACTTGTGAGCCATGGCAGCTTCCTGGTAGGCTCTTTTTCTTATGAATCTCAGCTATTTTGGAGGTTTTTCTTGGATTCATAATGGGTTTTCTTCAATTCGTTCATATATTTCTTAATCAATTGGTTTGGTTGATGTTTTGTGTGTAAAAAGATGAACTTTTTTGCATGAACTTGTAAAGAACAAAGATTTTCCAATGTTTTTGTGTAGTACGATGTGGTTTTGTATGACAAAAAATCTGTGTTTTTGGTTCTTTGTTTACCTTTCGATGTCATACGAGGTGGTTTTAAGAGGCATTAATTTCATGACAATTGGCTAAATCCCAACCCTTTTACGAGGGTCGGATTTTATCTCGATCTCGACCTCGACCTCATTCACATTAAATATCCAAAGAATCTCTCTTTCTCTCATACCCCACGTACAAACACGTGCATTCGTGTAAAAATTTCGTCTTTCAGCATTTTGTTTCGAGAATATTCCATCAGATGCTTTGATCGTTGAGCTGTTTTTAGCGTTTTTTTTCAAGACCGAAGCTCTATTTCTCTCCCGAACTATTAGATAAGGTTTTGTTTAGGGAAGACACGTAGAAGAGAGGGAAAACAATGGATCAAAATTGAGAAACTTTTGGTCCCATAATTGGAGTAATATAATATAAGTTGATGAGTCATAATACCCATTTTCCCACAAGTGCTTGAGCTAGCTTCAACTTGTAGAACAAGCTTCATTAATTATTGATCCATTTCTTCTTTGTTCTTTGTTCTTCACAAAATTATATATCAAATCTTTCTTTCATGCAAACAAATCTTGTTTTGTTGTTTATGATCATCATTACATTGCTAATCATACCTTTATGATAGGACGATTATTGTAATTTAGCGTGAAAAAATACTTTTATTTATTAATTATTTAGTTGATTAATATCTTAATCATAGGCTTCATTAGCCTTAGGCCTTAGTTTCTATTTTATTCGATAAATTATTCATTACTTAAATAGAACAAGTTCAATCATATATAGTTAATGAAAGCGAAAGATTAATTTAACTAATTAATTCTTTTTTGTTTTTGGGGGAATTAAAAGAGGTGGCGAAGCTAAATAGCAACGAGTGGTACTTCTTCAGCTTTCGAGATCGAAAATACGCGACGGGATATCGAACCAATCGTGCGACGACATGTGGATATTGGAAAGCAACTGGGAAAGATCGAACGGTGGTGGATTCGTCAACGGGGGAGATCGTAGGGATGAAAAAGACTTTGGTGTTTTATAGAAACCGAGCTCCAAATGGGATTAAAACGGGATGGATTATGCATGAATTTCGTCTAGAGGCCCCTCATAGGCTCCCAAAGGTTGGATTTTTCAATATTTGTTTTTTCTTTTTAGTCCTTCAATTTGGAAAGAATTATATTCATGTACCCTTAAAGGGTAACAACACAAAAGTTGGTGTCTTTTTCCACTTTGGTCATATTCAATTTAATGAATTTTTCTTGGTTTGCATTAACGAAGAATATTTATTTTTTAGTCCCTCCAAATTTCAAAATTAACAAAATGAGCCAATTTATGTGAGTGCAGGAGGATTGGGTTTTGTGTAGAGTGTTTCAAAAGGGGAAGCAAGAAGACTACAACAACAAACTCAACCAGCATTTCACATTCGGAAACTTCGAGCACGTTCCTTCTGTACTCGTCCAAGCTCCATCTCCCCCCCCAAGTGATCCGAGCAAGACCGTGATGCCTTCTAGCTACAATGTCGATATCGATATCGCTTCGTTATCGTCTTCGATAGCTCCCGAACAGATTAGCCATAGCCACACAGGCAGCTGTTCTTTTCTCCATCTCCTTCAGCAGCTTCCTCAAGAGAAACAAGACAATAATCCCAAAACTGATCAACTTTTCTGCCCCAAAACTAATGAATCAGATTATGGGGTTATGTGGGAAATGGATTTGGAAGAACATACCTTTCGAGATGGCGTCGTATCGAACTTGGATCAGATGGAATTCGACGTCGATAGCAGCCAGGTTTTCCTCTGAACGTGTGATGATATCTGCTACGCTGCGCTGTTGATATATAGCTTGTATATTAATGTATGGTGCATTTGGACATAGGAGAGTATTGGGGCATTGTTGCTTTGGACACACTTAGATTTCATTCTTTCTTTTAAATCTTTGGTCTTGTTGTAAAGAACATTAGTCAAAGCTGTAATGATATCAGTTAGGCGCATTAATGTGGATGTAATAAACTTGTGATTTTTGATACCACAATATAGAGTTCATGTGATGACGAAGCGGAACTACGACCCACAAAGCTCGAGGAGATGCATTTGAATCGTAAGAGTTCAAGGGGAAACGAAAGTCACTTAGCTTCTAGAGTTAGAGTGAAATATTCCTTAAATCCCCCGAACGTTACTTAGCTTGTGTAAGATCCCACATCGGTTGGAGAGGGGAACAAAACATTTTTTATAAGGGTATGGAAATCTCTCCCTAGCAAACGCGTTTTTAAACTGTGAAACTGAGAGCAATACGTAACGGACCAAAACGGACAATATCTATTAGCGGTGGGATTGGGCTGTTACAGCTTGTGCATGAGTTGGAAATAACACGTGACATTCTCAGATGTTGTGGGGATGAGACGACGTGACATACTACGATTATATACACAAGATTTTCTCCATTAGAATTGAGAATGTAGATCCTAATATACCTTCCATTTGTTCATGAGGTCCTATCGAGACTGCAGGCCTATTCATGAGGTCCCATCGACAAGCCTATCAACAAGCCTAGAGATTTCGTTAAAGAGAGTACATGTCTAAATATCGTCTTACCCGAGTCGTGCATACTTCATTCGCACTTAGACACCTTGCCCCGAGCTCATTTTGCGAAAGCCATACATATTTTTTTTCTTAATTTTCATTTTTCTTGTTTTCTTTAAGTTTCACAAGGTTTGGTGATATGCACCTTGGTTGGGAGAGAGAACGAAGCATTTTTTATAAAGGTGTGGAAACTCCTCCTTAGTAGACGCATTTTAAAAACCTTGAGAGAAAGTCCGAAAGGGAAAGCCCAAAGCGGACAATATCTGCTAGCGGTGGGCTTGGGCCATTACAAATGGTATCAGAGCCACTGAGCAATGTGCCAGTGAAAAGGCTAAGTACCGAAAGGGGGTGAACATGAGGCAGTGTGCCAGCAAGGATGCTGGAACCCGAAGGAGGGTGGATTGGGGGCTCCCACATCGATTGGAGAAGGAAACGAATGCGAGCAAGGACGCTGAGCCCCGAAGGAGGCAGATTGTGAGATCCCACATCGGTTGGGAAGGAGAATGAAACATTCTTTATAAGAGTGTGGAAACCTCTCCCTAGCAAACGCGTTTTAAAAACATTAAGAGGAAGCCCAAAGAGGACAATATCTGCTAGAGGTGGGTTTGGGCCATTACAGGTCGTGTAGAATCTAACTTATTTTTCACTTGAGTATGTGTATATGGTGGAGAGATTTACGATCGAACATCTTCATTCTAAGCTCAACACTATCCGTATCAGAGATATTTAAACTTCTAGCATCTTTCTCAAGGTTGTATGCCTAAATCCGTTGACCTATGTTTTCGAGAGTTTTCGAGAGTAGTAATGGTTCTCGCATGCCCTATAAAGACAAATATATGAAAACGACATGATTCATCCTCTACGTATCGAGTTTTCTTACACTTATGTAATCACTACACTTAGATAGGGCTATCAATGATGAACAGTGTTGCACAAAAAAGACTGAACAATAATAGAAACCTCTAATGCAGACAAAGAAATGGGAGACATATGCCACTCACAGTCCTGCAGAAACTAGGCCATGTAATGTGATAATGCCAATCAACATAGCTTGCTGATTGATAACAGGCAGAAATTGCACAGGAGATGGCGGTGCTTCCATCTTTTTCATTGCGTCGACCGCCATCGCCTCGGGATCGATCGTTCTCGGGTTCCTGCCATACGGGACAAGTTCAACAAACAGCAAGATCTTGTACAAGCAAGTACCTCTCATGGAGTCAGCTAAAACAAGTGGGTATTAAAGATTGATACCTGTTGCACATTTGGCCTACGGTGAGCTTGAAGATGGCTTCACCACTAGCTTTGAGAGTGCGCCGCAAATCACCATCTGTGAATGTCCCAATCAGGTGATGTTCCTCATCTATGACAAGTAGGCAGCCGCATCCTTTGCTCGTAAGCTCCACTAATTGATCCATTATTAGATCTTCTTTTTTGCAGACAGGAAGCTCATTCTGCTTCTTCATCACATCTTTTACCTGCATAATAACAAATATCAAGTTCTGTATTGTTGGCTGACTCAATATCATTTCTCAATAGTTCCCAAGTTATGTTTACAACAAATCAAACTCAGTTCCACTGTGTAACGGCTCAAGTCCACCGCTAGCAGATATTGCCCTCTTTGAGCTTCCCCTCAAGGTTTTCTAAACGCGTCTATTAGGGAGAGGTTTCAACACCCTTTAAAGAATGTTTCGGTCTCCTCCCAAATCGATGTGGGATCTTACAATCCAGCCCCCTTCGGGGCTAGCGTCCTTGCTGGCATACCACATGGTGTCCACCCCCTTCGTAACAGCCCAAGCCCACATCGATTGGGGACACTAGGCGATGTGCCAACGAGAACGCTGAGCTCCAAAGGGGGGTGGACACCAGGCAGAGTGCTAGCCCTAAACGGTAAACAAAGACGAAACTCAAGATGAACGAGACTGAACTACTAAACCTTCACCTCATGTTGTCAAAGAGTTGAACAATGGTTTTTTCGTGTTGTCAAAGAGTTGAACAATGAAAATAGATAGCGAGTGCCTAATCGAATTGATCGGGTCATGTAGGAACAAGGTAGAATCTGGTCTGGCTGCTGGTATAGCATTCCCTTCTAGCCGCCGCCGTCAGTGCAGCTGTTTCATTCATTAATTTGATTTTTGGTCAAAGGTCGAGCCCGCCATTTCCAATTGCTATACCAGAGTAGGGACGAGTGCCTACGTAACCTACGAGGACAAGGCCCCGAAGAGAGTAGATTGTGAGATCTCACATCAATTGGAGAGGAGAACGATATTGATTGGAGAGGAGAACAAGTGCCAGCGAGGATGCTAGGCCCTGAAGAGAGTGGATCATGAGATCCCACGTCGGTTGGAGGGGGGAAATGAAGCATTCTTTTAGGGGTGTGAAAACATCTCCCTAGCAGACGCGTTTTAAAAACCTTGAAGGGAAGCCCGAAAGGGAAAGGCTCAAAGAAAACAATATCTGCTAGTGGTTCGCTTGGGTCGTTACAGGTATCAATTGGGCTATAAAAGAAGAAATCACAATAAGCAAGCAATCAAAACTCAAACATGTCTCTCAAAACCAAAAATTTTCTGCAGAAATGTAGTAAAAGCAGTCAAAATCCAACAAGATCAAACATATGGCCCTCAAATTCACTGGACAAAGACCTAACAGAAGAAGGAACCAGGACGCACCATTCGGTTTCCGACTTAGGAAGATGACCAAGGATGGACACTTCAGTTGGACTAACGTATCCGTGTCTGACACGTATCGAACAATTAGAACACTACGACACTTGTTAGACACTAGTTGTACAAAATCAACATAGGTCTAACATTCGTTAGACACGTATCGAACACTCGGCTTTGGATAAATTTTGAGAGTAAAATGCATTGACCTCAACTCTTAAGCACATAAATGATTGATTTTGATATTCATCTTGTATAAACATGTCATTGTAGTATGTCCTAGGTTTTCAAAACATGATGTGTCACTATGTCCATTTCGTGTCTTATCAGTATCCGTGCTTCTTAGATCACATTTTATTTGTAGAACCAAAGCTTATTCCTAGAATCTGACAAGAATGAAACATGGTTCAAATAGACATTGCCTGCCACCTACTGTTCGATTAAGATACTAAAACTCGTGATCTAACTGATATGGGAGCTAGATTACCGTTCTTATCCACTTTGAACATAAGCTCTCATGGCCTTATAAACCCATGATCATTCCTTAAATTAACCAACGTGGGACTCTCTCCCAACAATCCTCCCCTCGAACAAAGTACACTATATAGCCTCCCTTCAGGCCTATCCAGCCCTCGAACAGCCTCTCCTTAATCGAGGCTCGACTCCTTCTTTGTAGTCCTCGAACAAAGTACACCCTTTGTTCGACACTTCAGTCACTTTTGACTACACCTTCGAGGCCCATAACTTCTTTGTTCGACATTTGAGGATTCTATTCACATGGCTAAGTTAAGGGCATGACTCTGATACCATGGTAGGAATCACAACTCTCCCCAATTGTAACAGTCCAAGCCCACCGCTAGCGGATATTGTCCTCCTTGGGCTTTCTGTTTCGGGCTTCCCCTCAAGGTTTTTAAAACACTGCTAGGGAGAGGTTTCCACACCCGATAAAGAATGTTTCTGTAACGACCCGAGCCCACCGCTAGAAAATATTGTCCTCTTTGGGTTTTCCCTTTCGGGTTTCTTCTCAAGGCTTTAAAAATGCGTCTGCTAGGGGAAGGTTTCCACATCTTTATAAAGGATGTTTTGTTCTCCTCCCCAACCAATGTGGGACATCACAATCCACCCAACCTTCGAGGCCCAGTGTCATTGCTGGCACTCATTCCTTTCTCTAATCGATGCAGGACCACCACCAAATCCACCCCCCTTTGGGGCTAGTGTCCTTACTGACACACCGCCTTGGTATCTACCCCCCTTTGGGAAATAGCGAGAAGGCTGACACATCGTCCAGTGTCTGGCTCTGATACCAATTGTAACGACCCAAACCCAAGTCCACCGCTAACAAATATTATCCTCTTTGGGCTTTTCCTTTCAGGTTTCCCCTCAAAGCTTTAAAAACGCGTCTGCTAGGGGAAGGTTTCCATACCCTTATAAAGGGTATTTTGTTCTCCTCCCCAACCAATATGAGACATCACAATTTCGTTCTCCTCCCCAACCAATGTGGGATCTCACAACAATGGTATGATATTGTGCACTTTGAGCATAAGCTAAAGGTCTCATACCAACGGAGATGTATTCTTTACTTATAAACCCATGATCATGGACTCCCTAGGCCAAAAGTTTCCCTAGAATCCCCCTAGAGTCCCAATAGACATAAAGAAAAGCAGCTCAAGAACAAATGGATGAAGTAAAAGTAGAAGTAACCTTGAAAATGAGGCTCTTCCCGATCCTCCCAGCAGGATGATTAGTGGCATACTCCTCCTTAGTCAAATTCCGCGCACCCATAAGCGCAATAGCCACAGTATCTCCAAAAACCATTT